ACAGGTACGCAACTACAAAAACTGCAAGATGTCAAATATTCTTTTCAGTATTATGCAAGGAGTGAAACTGATCTTTATTTTTTATTATTATTTTTCATTTCAATAGCGAGCCAACTTGGAGAACCAGATCGCAGAGGCAGAGGAACGCGGCGAGATGGCAGTAAGAGATGCCAAGGGCCGCATTAAGGACCTGGAGGATGCCCTCCAGAGAGCCAAGCAGGACATGGCACGCCAGATTAGAGAATATCAGGACCTGATGAATGTAAAATTAGCCCTAGACATCGAGATCGCCACCTACAGGAAGCTCCTGGAAGGAGAAGAGGACAGGTGGGTTCAACAAATGCACACCTGCTGTATAGAATCAATAATCCTCAAGTAGCTGTGGCTCACAGCTAATTTATAACAGCTAAGGGGAGTTGTTGTACATGACACAGAGTTCTATACATTTACTGTAAATCATGTCTTCAGGGCTTATTGCTTTTACACAATGGTAATTTCATTAAAATAAATTTAAAGCAAATGTAGTTTCCTTGGGTCAGTACCAGGCAACAGTCACAGGTTTATGTTTGTATTTTACCACAGCTTCAAACATAGCTCAACCAATCAGAACTATAATTGCTTCATAATTTGAGATTTCTGTACAAGATAGTCATTGCTTTTCCCACTCTTTTTTTAACAGACTGGCAACTGGAATCAAGGCCATCAATATCTCAAAACAGAGCAGTAAGTTTGACTCCTTTCAAGACTCTTCCTTCACATAATAATTCAATGCAATGAACTGTCCTCTACAGAATCTACATCTTACATCTTTCTGTCCCGATAGCGAGCTATGGTGGATATCCTATGGAAAGTGCCGGCAGCAGCTACAGCACCTACTCTAGCGGTTACTCCAGCGGTTTATCTGGAGGATATGGTGGCGGATACAGCGGCGGATACAGCGGTGGCTACAGCTCAGGCAGCGGCTACAGCGACACCGTCTCTCAGACCAAGAAGAGCGTCGTGATCAAGATGATCGAGACCAAGGATGGCAGAGTTGTGTCCGAGTCCTCTGAAGTAGTCCAAGATTGAGCAAGTCCTTCCCCCAGTTGTGTCCACTAAACGTCACGCCTCTTCATGACCTTCCCTCTCAACCATTATGGCTGCGGCCCAAAGCTCTAGACAGAAAAGCAGCCATAAAGCAGGTTGAAAGCCACTCACACTGACCAAAGAATTCCAGAGGGACCAAATAATCTCACCGCTCTTGTCGTGCCTTAATCCACATCACTAAAAACACACGTCTTCAGGCCACCGCACCGCACAACTGTCTTCATGTCTTACCTTGCACAACATGGCACAACACGTCTGTAGGCTGGACAATCCACGATTTGCCACTAATTGCAGCTAGCCGTTTAGCTGAATTGCTCAACATGCTAAGCAAATGAAGGGATATGATTGCATTTGTGCTAAATTGCTAGCATGTTAGTGGTAGATCCATGCGGTTGGCCTGTTTATTAGAGATCATTTCATTGTACTTTTGGCAAACGAGAAGTTGCCCATTGTGTATCCTGTTTTCTTAGGTGCTGTTTTTGCTACCGAAAATAAAAGTGTTTACCTAAAAATGTATCTTACTGTCTTTTGTGTTTTATTCAAGTGTTAGTTTTCTTTTCAAAAAGGAACATATATTTTGAGTCTACTTTTTTCCATACTTTTCTAGAAATGTAATAAAAAGTATACTTGATTTGTTTTCTTATAGAGAATCCTAACTTAAAATTGGCACATTTTTCTATTTTTGACAGAGATATAGCTAACACTTTATTTTGATGGTCCTTTTGAGTATTAGTAGACCGTCTGCTCAATATCTGTGGATACTGCTCCTTCAACAGACATTTAACTGACTATAAGAAACTTTGCAAATACGTCAACTTACCCTATCACTAACCCTAACCTAACCGTGGACTTATAATTTAATGAGAATTAGTTGGCATTTAGATGCAATGTAACTTAAATTCATCAAATGGGCCATCAAAATAAAGCATGATCGAGAAATATTTTTAGTGGAGTAGCATATTATTTTTTATTTAATTTTATTTCTCAAAACTTTTTACACACTGTCTTACATGTTCAAGTTTCTATAATGAAAAGTGAACTTTGAGATGTGTGAAAATGAACTGATGATAATGATCTTTGCTGGTGTATTTATTGCAAATACTTACAATAAGGTATTAATAATAATATTCATTCATTCATTCATTTTCTTGTCGGCTTAGTCCCTTTATTAATCCAGGGTCGCCACAGCGGAATGAACCGCCAACTTATCCAGCAAGTTTTTACACAGATGATGCCCTTCACGCTGCAACCCATCTCTGGGAAACATCCACACACATTCACACACACACACAAACTCATACACTATGGACAATTTAGCCTACCCAATTCACCTGTACCACATGTCTTAAATATACATTTAATTTATATAATCTAATGGGGTTAAGTTTTTAAGTTTTTAAGCAAGTTTTTACACAGATGATGCCCTTCACGCTGCAACCCATCTCTGGGAAACATCCACACACATTCACACACACACACACACACACACTCATACACTATGGACAATTTAGCCTACCCAATTCTGTACCACCTGTACCACATGTCTTAAATATACATTTAATTTATAATTAATACAATTAGCTTTCTTAATAATGGAAATAATTATTATGGGAGCAGTAACATGCGCTATGCTGATATGTGTTTAGCAGATCTTCAACAGCAGTTAATGGATGTTTATAAATATCTTCTTTTTTTAAGGGCCATAACCCTGTAAATATATACGTGTATTCTCAGCCGTTCTGACATTGTTGGGGTATTTTCGGTAAACAGTAACAATATTTAAATACTGTAATCTGAATAATACAGTAAATCAACTCTAAAACGTCGTTTCCTCTACTCTGAATAGCATGAAACAGTGGTGTTGTTTGATAGGCTAGCCTTTACTGTACGCAGGTTAATACAGTAGTATTGGAGTTCACTGTCATCAAAGGCAAAAGTACTGGGCGTGGTGCAAAGATTTGGGAAGTACATTTGAACTGTCGCAAAAAAAGCTTAATTTTTACTATCTTCTGCGGCCATCTGGTGTTCAAAATGTCGAATAGCACATAACAAATTACAGTCCTGATGTACTAGGCTTAAAACCAAAAGTTAAACATGTTCACCAAAATAGTAGCCTATAACATGAAACAAATTGGTAGACTCCAGTATGTTAAAAAATGTGTTAAAAAATAACACATATTTACTACATTACAGTATATAGCTACAACGTTTTTAAACATCCCACATGAAAAAGTAGCAGTATAGTAAATACCAGGGGCTAGAACCCATTTCCAGGGGCACTTGCCCTAATAGGCTAATCGCCAGTAAATGCTTTGAGATAGGTTACGATTTACTTTCTATGCAAGTGTATTTATTGAGAGTGGTAATCCCAGAGTACAGACGTTGTTCTATATGTGCAACCGAACCAACGCTGATGTAGTTAAAACAAAAAGCAAACTGAGCATGTGCGAAAGAAAACACCCGCGCGCCTCACGCACCGCTCCTTCTTGAGGTGATGCTGACGCGCTGCTCTGCTCCTGGTGAAAATACCGGTTGTGAACTGTCATGCACGCTGGGAAAAAAACGGCGATACAGTCTTTTATGCGAGGGGCGAGGGCCGTGTCGGCATGCAGTGAGTTCTGCAAGTTGACAAAACATACAAAATAATGTAGATAGATTATATCTAGAAATTTTAAAATAGGCTAAGTGCTGGTGAAATAGAGTTGGGCTTTAATGCCTACTCTTAAACTCTTATAGGCCTATATACTCTTATAATAAATAGTTTCTTATATTTATGATCTCTAATGATTTAGTTATTGATTTAGCGAGTGACATTTTTGAGTATCCAGTCCCCATTTTTAAATAAATAAATCGCAAAAATGTGCAGAGAATCTGAAATTATTCACTATTGCCACGCGGCCAATAGAAAACTGACTTTCTCATTCAACAAAAAATATATAAATATAAGGATTTTAAACTGATTCTGATATAAAATGTATTTTTCTTTATTAAGCTAGATACAATAGCAACAAAAACACACAATGGAAATATGATAACATAAACTAGGTGTGTATTTGCTTTATTACAGGCTGTCGTAAACTGATTGGCAATTCAATTATTGGTAACTGCTGCAGTAACAGCGATCCATACGATGGCCAATTAGCTTGAGTCGTTGTTTATTTAAAGTCGATTTATTATTTCAAAATTGTATTTAAATGCATAATTAGAAACATATCTTGGCTTGGTGAAATTAAGCTGCATTACTCACCCCTGTAGAAAACACTTTTTCTTTTTTTCTCCCATTCTCTCCCAGTAGCTGGCGTGCACAGATCAGTAATGATGACTGGTGACCCAGATAGCAGGCAGTAATCGGCCCGAGCTCGGCTGCCCTCCGGCGCCTCCGGCTCCGACTCGGCATCGGCGAGTGTTATCCGGGCCGAGTGCGGCCCGCAGCTCGCTCGCGCACATGCGGTTGTGATGCGGCTGTAAAGCACTGGCCCGATTCCGGTCAACCATATGGCAACCGATTAAGGCTGATGGCAACCGATTAAGTCCTTTATTTATCTAGTAATCTGTTAGCTCCACGTTTAATGATAATTTGAGAAAATATTCATGGTATGATAGCAAAAAAAAAAAAAAAAAGAATATTTAGTGTGGATGTTCGCAATGTTTAGACGCAAACAAAACAATATTATTTATAAATAGATTATACATGTCATCTAGAGAAAAACTATGTAAAATTCGCTTATTTTTGAGATAGCACGCTCCTGTGCTGACTGTTTTTGTTTTAAAGCAGAAGTTGGTTTCATAATAAACACATGCGTGACTATATTTTACAGTCTATGGACTAAACTCATGATCCACACTCCAATCCAGACGGTGGCGGTAATGCTCCAAAAAGCTGGTTGTCAACCACCAAGGCACGAAGATCACAAGAAGAAAAAGTTTTTTTTTTTTAAAGACTTCACGTGAATTCCGGTCAGAAAGGTAAGCTTTTTACTGCTTGTGTACTGTATAATTAGCGAATTTAGAGCTTAAAACATTTCCACGGTGTTTGGTTGTAACAGCGTTTAGTAATTTAAAACAGTTTGATACGAAATGTAACTTGCTTTAAGAAACCCGACTGGAGCTAATGTATGCTAACGCTAACAGTTACAAACACGTCTGAAAGTTCATTTTCCTTTAACACAATGTTAGATTGTAACGTGTGTAGTAACTGAAAACTATTTTAATTATTTTAAAGAAACATGAAACGAATTTGTGTGTATGCTAACTTTGCGTTAAAGAAAGTTTCTGTAGACGAATCCATTAACTAACATGGCAACGTGTTTTTTCCTGATTTAACATTATAAAGTACCGTGGATGTTGAAAAAAATCATTGTACAGGCGTATACTTATCCAACAGTATTAATTCTGTGATTGTGTAAATAAAAACTAATCGTTTTGGATTATTAAAATATTATTGTTTATCTTGTTTATGCAGTTAGTCACGAAAAGTGATCGAAACTCGACTGTTTACTATTCTCTTTAAATTATCCAAGAGAAATATATTAGTGTGCACTTTAATTCATATGTGTTAGCCTATGTGAATCAATTATATCTTTTGTTCAAGCTGTAATGGCCAGTTAATGTAAAACTGAACGTCTTAAAGCAGATTTTGATGTTTTTTGTTTGTTTTTTATGTTATTGACGGTGATAAATTCTGATTTAAATGAATGGGTAACAATATTTGTTGGTTAAGTCTCATTGTTCTTGTTTAACAAAGGTTAGTGAGATCATTTTGCAGTACATCACGACCAAAGAAGTCAATGGCACACTCTTTTGAACGTGAATAGGCATGTTATAGTTGTGTGCTAAAAGTCCATTATAAGCTGTAAACTGCTGATACATTTTCAACATAAATTGAGCTTTTCAGACATTACATTACTAATTACTTCACAAACAGCTGAAATGGTTTATTGTTATTGGCTATCATCATCAAACATTTTTCACAATGGTAGGTTAATCTTCATGGGTACAGAATAATGCATGTGCTTGGCCATCTTACAAATCTATGTCTCAGATTCATAAGGCTGTCACTCTGCATGAATCTCCGAATAAATCTTGTGCAACCTTCTGTGTACTGATTATTTACACTATAGGTATTATATGCATTAATTAACTTTGATAGTATTTCAGGATTTGAACTTTTCTTTACGGGAGGTTAACAACAATGTGATGTTTTATTATAGATGCATATGAGGAAGCTCGACTAAAACATCCACATGCAACTTTGATTTCTGACTGGTAGACAGATGAGGATGATGATCGCCTGTCATACATCTAAAGACAGAACAGGTTTGTTTGCAATTATTTTAAACACATACTGTCAACATTGTCATTGATCTATTACAACCTGTGAGTTTTGCCCTGGCACTATACTAAAGTGATGTTTTGTTTTGTAAATGTATCTGATCAAGGGACAGTATAGACGCATCTATACCATGATGAAGAAAAATTACTTGGAACAAAGGGCTGGATAAAAGGCAGGTATGAAGATTTCAGAAATCAATGCAGCACCACAAGTACCATCACCATCAATGACTATGGCAGAAATCTTAAGACCACCATGAAGATGCACAGATATTGTACATTCCAGTACACCAGCCGTGTCCAAACTACGGCCCGCGGGCCATCTGCAGCCCGCGAGGCTTTTTATAAATATCAATAGAATCTGGCCCGCTATACAAAAATGAACGTAATTCAATAAATAACCACCGGATGTCGCTATTACATGCATTCAATTAAGCAGCAGTTCTTGTTATTATCTATCTATCTATCTATCTATCTATCTATCTATCTATCTATCTATCTATCTATCTGTCTGTCTGTCTGTCTGTCTGTCTGTCTGTCTGTCTGTCTGTCTGTCTGTCTGTCTGTCTGTCTGTCTACACACAGTTGAAGTCTGAATTATTAGCCCCTCATTGATTTATTTCTTCTTTTTTAAATATTTCCCAAATGATGTTGGAGAAAGACTTATGTTTTATTTCGGCTAGAATAAAAAGCGGTTTAATTTTTTTTATGAACCATTTTAAGGTCAAAATTATTAGCCCCTTAAGTCTTCAGAACAAACCATTGTTATAAAATAACTTGCCTAATTACCTTGACTAGTTAACTTGATTAACCTAGTTAAGCCTTTAAATGTCACTTTAAGCTGTATAGAAGTGTCTTAAAAATATCTAGTCAAATATTATTTACTGTCATCATGACAAAGATAAAATAAATCAGTTATTAGAAATGAGTTACTAAAACTAATATGTTTAGACATGTGTGGAAAAAATGTTTAACTCTCCGTTAAACAGAAATTGGGGAAAAAATAAACGGTGGCTAATAATTTAGGGGGGCTAACAATTCTGACTTCAACTGCATTTATATATATATATATATATATATATATATATATATATATATATATATATATATATATATATATATATGTGTGTGTGTGTCTGTGTGATGTATGTAAAATTTGGCCCGCGACAACGTTTGTTTTTTTGCATCTGGCCCTCGGCCCAAAAAGTTTGGACACTCCTGCAGTACACCTATGAACATTTACAGTCTTTGTTCTAGTGCAGTTTGAGATCAAGACAGAACTTATTGCATCTCGTGATGTCTTTGTAAGAATTGAAGACATCACTAAATTTGTTAAGGTTTAATGAAGCTAGAAAGTAAAGATCAACTAGAGAATATCAGCAGTGTCTAACCCACTGTTGTATTTACAGAGGTTGTATGAGAATAAGCTACAGGTTGATTTATACTAATCTGTTATTTTTCTTTTTTAGCACGACTGACTGAAGTTTTAAAATCATGCAACGTCATAAAGCAGCAGCTGGGCCTGATTCTCACAAAACCAAAACAGACGTGATAAAATTCCAGATGTAAAAACATTTGACCTTCCTTTGGCCAATTTGATTTGGAAAAGCTTGAAAATCAACTAAAGGAGCAGCCTGAACAAATGAAGAAACTGGTAAGTTCAAGCTCTTGCTAATTTCAAAGTGTTTTAAGTTTATTTGTTTTTTTTATTGTTTTTTTTTTGCTTCGTAGGTAGCCTACTTTTTTCCTAATTTTTTCTTTTTTTTACATTAGTACTTGTTCACTACTAATTATCTGTTTATCTTTTAATCACAGATGGAGTGAGGACAAATGTCCATACCACGCCACTGATAAAGAAGTGGAAAAATGCATTACAAGGTAGCTACAACTTGCCCCTGACAGGGATGGAGGAAGAAAGAAGAGAAAGCTAATGTGTCAAATGTCTACATCACTATTTTGTTTTATTTTTTAAACAACATTTTAAGTGTATTAGGATGTTCCCTGATACTTGAACAATTTGTTTCTTTCATTTGCATTTATATATATATATGTATATGTATATATATGTGTGTGTGTGTATATATGTATGGTATGTAGGTATGTATGTATGTGTGTGCGCCAAATTCTGAAGAAACATCTTGATACATTTTTAATAAACGTAATACAAATAAAATTATAAATATAAAATTGCACAAGACGTGTATATATATGAAATGTATAATCATCTCACTCATGTCTTGCTGTTTGTGCAATTGATTTTGTTCAAGTTTATTTAAAAATAAGTTTGACTTTATACTTCTGCAATTATTTATATATATATATATATATATATATATATATATATATATATATATATATATATATATATATATTTGTTTGTTTGTTTGTTTATTATTATTTTAATGTTTTATTAAAAAATGTTTCAAGATGTTTCTTCAGAATTTTGCAGTACTTTTTACAAGTTTGACTTAGATATTTTACGGATTGTCATTGGTATTTTTAAGATGTTTCTTGCTATATCTTAAATTGGTTTCTATATTTAGGTTTATATAAAATTTAGCTGTTTGTACAAATTTTTAATTTAAGTCTATTGGGAAAACAGGGTTGTTTTAAAAACATCTGTGTTTGTGTGTAATTTTTAGATTTTTTGTTTAAATCTTTTTGTGTGTCTTTAATGTGTTGTTTTATTGTTGTTTTTATATTGATATTCTTGTGCACTACAAAATTATTTATAAAATTTTAGTACTATTTTTTTCTTGCAATTAATAAACGTTTAACATTTATTTATTTTGTCATTTGTCTGATTATTTTCGTTACAGAATGTGTATGCAGTTTGCACTTTATTCAAAGGTTAAACACAGTGCTTACACTTTGTGTGTACATTATAGCCTGTGTTTGCTGTTGTATAAATTCAAATGGTTGTAATACCATATATTAAGTACCAATGTAATACCAAAAGGTTTTATAAGGTGTATAAATACGGAGTCGCGCCAGCTCCGGGCCGCAGCGCACATTACCCTCGCGCCGATTCCGGCGCGGATGCGCAGCGTCGGCTCGCTTACGGCCGCCGCATCTGGCCCGCTTGATTCGGGCCGGAATCGGGCAGTGAGTCCACAGGCATCCGGCCCGAGTCCGGCAGCCGGAGTTGGGCCGAGGGGTAAGTCTTCGGCAGGCGACAATCTAGCCGGAACTGGCCCGAGTGTATTTTGCTATCTGGGGAAGTATTTACACTTTTGATTAAATTAAGGAAAGTAAAAGTAGACTGAATTAAACCCATTAATGAAAGAAAATAAGTTTAGATGATTAGTAACTGCAAATATGCAGAGGTCTAAATAAGCCCATACTCTAAATAAATAAATAAATAACACATACTTTCACATTACTTTCCTTAAATAGTAACTAAGTAACACATCTAGCTACCTTTTTAAGTGACTTTAGATTGTAACGTATCACTTTTCCCTCAACAGGAAGAAGTTCCTTAGACAGGAAGTGGAAAGCAGTACTTTGGGAAACCCTGCTTCTGCTGAGCTTCTAGAGCACCTGCAGTCCAGATACTGGAGCTCACCTGCACTCGACTCAACTCTGATGCAGCACCAGGTGGGTCCTCATTCACTGTCACTCTGTGCTTTTGACAAATAAAAAGTTTTGGTTCCCTTTGGATTACGCCTGTTTCACACTCTACATGGCATTCATTGTGATTTGAAGTCAAAGTTTTTAGCCCTCCTTTAAATTTGTTTTCTTTTTCAAAATTTACCCAAAGGATTTTTAACAGAAAAAGGAATTTTTCACAGTATTTCCTATAATTTATTTTCTTCTGGGTAAAGTCTTGTTTATTTATTTATTTTTTTGACTAGAATAAAAGCAGATTTTATATATATATATAAAACATTTAAGGTAAATATTATTAGTTCTCTTATAAATATTCTAGCAATATTTTCTGTCTACAGACCAAACCACTGTTTTACAATGACGTGCCTAATTACCCTAACTTGCCCAATTAACCTAGTTAAATCTTTAAATTGCACTTTATTTTCAAGTTATGTGTGTTGTGACTATCCTTAATTGAAACTTCAAGTTAGCCACATCTTGGGTCTGCTGAGGGATTCCTTAGAAAAAAAAATACATGGAACAATAAGTCTTCATTTGTGGCATTCATTGAGTTAGTTGAACAAAAAAAAAAAAAAAAAAAAAAAACTGATATGAAATAAACAAAATCAAACGACTTTGGCCATCAAACTGCAAGGGGTGCAAATCTCCAAAATAAAAGTAATCAAGATTAACAACACAAACCTTTAAATAAAATAAACAAATGTCTCCTACAAAACCGACCCCTAATTGTATTTGAACTATTTTAAAAACAATTTAATAAAGTTATCAATGGAGCCATGTCATATTTACAATGTGTTTAAATATAAATAATTAAATAACAATTTACCTAAAATAAATTAATACTTATCTGCAGTTGTTCTTAGAAGAGAAAAGTTGACATCAACCCTCTAATAGCAGACATAACTTCGTTATGGGTCTTTCTAGGATGTTAGTTTGGGTTCTTACTTTGACAACTCTTACCATATTTGTCAGGCATGACCTTTTCAATTCTTTCAAGTATCCAAGACCCACGTGGGGCAGTTGAATGTACTACCAATACAACATTACCAACTGCAAAGTTCCTTCTTGTCTTGTTCCATTTTTGTCTTTCTTGCATGAGAGGCAAAAATTCATGAATCCGTCGTTTCCAAAATATGTCTGCCAAATACTGGAATTGTCTCCAAGTGAGAGGCTTCCAATCTAGAGGATCATTAGACACTGTAGATATTGGGTTGACTGTTTAAAATAGCCTCTACTTCACATAATACAGTGTGCAGTCCTTCTTCAGTCAGAGTTTGCTGTTTTAGCACAGAAAGTATTTGTCTTGTAGACCTGATGAAGCGTTCCCATATACCCCTATGATGCGATGCTCCAGGGCGCTTGAAACATCCAATTCCATGATGACACAAGGTCTTTTGAATGTAACTTTGGTTGAGGGCTGCAATGGCTTCCCTTTGTTCCTTTTTTGCACCCACAATATTTGTGCGAGTGTCATACTTTATGTGCTATACTTGGCCTCTTCTACAAATAAAATGTCTAATGGCTTGGATG